ACTCTGCACCAACACACACCACGCACACTCTGCACCAACACACACCATGCACACTCTGCACCAACACACACCACACATACTCCACCCCCAGCACCCCCCACACACATACACACTCTCCACCACCAATCCCCCACAAACACACATACATTCTCACTCTCCACCACCTGCTCCACACACAAAACACACACTCTCTCCACTACCCACCCCACACACAACACACACTCTCTCTCTCCACCACCCACCCCCCACACACACACAACACACTCTCTTTCTCCACCACCCGTCCCACACACAACACACACACACACAACACACACTCTCTCTGTCCACCACCCACCCCACACACACACACACACACAACACACGTTCTCTCTCTCCACCACCCGTCCCACACACACACACTCTCTCTCTCCATCACCCGCTCCCCGCCCCACACACACACAGATATATCTATGGGGTGAATTTGCATTTCCAGATTTGTAGTTACAGATACATTCTATTTTGTTCAAAAAACACAATTTGTAGACACAGTCAGTCAATAGGGCATTTTACAAATTTTTGCTTTGGAAACAAAACCAGTCTGTCTCCAGATTAAAACACAGATTCTAAACAAGGCCTCACACCTAAAATGCATTGTCTACCCTGAGTTGTCACCTCTTGTATACACTGGTAAAACCTGTAGTAATCTCACAGCAGTGACATGAAACAAATTCTGGTATTTGCAAGTTAATCAACTGAAACCTGCACCTCCTTTCTAACTGATTAAAGATTTAACAGGAGGGAGTCAGCCAGCCATTTTAGGTTTATTCAATACATTTGCATCAGTTGTATGATCCTTTGATCTTTTATTTATAAATTCTGTGTCCTGATACCTCCTCTCTCACTACACCTGAGGAAGGAGCAACGCTCAGAAAGCTAGTGTTTTCAAATAAACCTGATGGACTATAACGTGGTGTCATGTGATTTTCACCTTATCCAACCCAGTCCAACACTGGCACCTTCACATCTTGCTTTAAACATGACCTGCATGTGGCTCTTTTTAAATAGTGCTACTACAACAGTTAACAAACCTACCATAAATAGTTGCAACATTTAAAATAAGCTCAGATTTCAAAATGTTCTTTACCATAACAATGAATCCTTACACAGTATTAGTGCAAATCCCTTAGTCTGCAGTTATAGTTCAATAATTTTGAGACTATTAACAACATTGCATGTGAAATAAGTTGACAATATGAGAGTTACATAATGGACTGTACCTGCTATGATTTGTACTATGCCCTAAAGATCTCTTACAATGTTAAAATAGATTGGGGGTGGAATCAGTTCTTTTTATACAAGGTTCTGCATTTAGCCTATAAAGCATTTAGGAAGATCCAGTGGACTCACACCACAGGGATGCTGTCCTTCGGGATACAATTTTACAGTGCTTGGTTTGAGTCCAAGTCAGTGACAGATTAACATTAAAATTGCAGTATTTCTAATGACAGGACTTCCAAACAAGCAATCAATATCCAAATCAAATCTCTAAAATGTAAAATTATGTCTATATAAGTGTAGGGTAAGCAACAATTTTAAAAACCATCAGACTCCTTGCAACACACAATCGTTAGTTAGATTGCATAATTACAGTAAAGTGGAAGCTGTACATTACAATAACTACAAAATAGTAACAGCACAGAAATATTTAGAATTAGCTTTATTTAACAACTCAAAAAAGATAGTAATTGTATACAATTCAAAAAAATAGATCCATAGTATATTGTAAAGTAGAGCACAATTTCATGGTTCAAGTAGCTCTACAGTATGGCAAACTGGTGGTTTTCCTACGAACTGAATACCATGACTTAAGTTGCTTTGCTTTCTGTGACCAGCAGAACTTATATTGTGAACTCACTTGCAGTGCCTCAGACTACCAAAAGTTTAAAACCCACTGGAACTTCAACACAAAATACAGTTAACACTTCATTTTGCATGCTACATGATTCAAGTTTGCAATTTCTCTTTCCCAAAATAACACTTTACTACTTAAAATGTGCTGTAAAATACAGTTAGTGATTATCTGAAAAAGTTTGAAGCTCATCATCTCATGATAATACCATAACTGTTTTATATTTAATGAGTTTGTAGAAATTTTTTTTCTAAATTAAATTTACTGTTGCTTTTGTTATTTCTGGTCTGCTAGCCTGATTTATGTCTAGTTTTTTGCATATCCTAATCTAAAGTCCATCAAATGTGTTCTATTGATCTTATTCAGAAAAACTAGCAGAAGACATATTCTCTAAAATACATTGAATTTCTTCTGGACTATACTCACCTAAATAATTTGTATTTTCCTTCTGGATCAAACTTGTCTATGTACTGCTGAAATATCTTTAGGCTTGATTTTCGCTAAAAAATTGTAAAGACAATTAGAATTGTAGAATAGGATAGAACAGAAGAAAACCTTATCTTTGACTCTTTGAACAAGCTATCGCTGTGTTCATCCAGCTAATCCATCTTCTATCCGCCTCCCCCTCTCTCCCTATTTATTTCAGAACCCCCTTCCCCTCCCCCATTTCTGAAGAATGGTCTGGGCCCGAAACGTCAGCTTTCCTGCTCCTATGATGCTGCTTGGCCTGCTGTGTTCATCCAGCTCTACACCTTGTTATCTCTATTGGTCCCATTTGTTCATTTTTTTCCTCATAACCATGTACACATCTTTCCCTCAAGCTTTTATCCAATTCTCTTTTGGAGATGCCGTAGGATCTAATTTCACCAGCTTTTCAGGCAGTACATTCCAGGTCATAATAACTTGCTGCATGAACCTTTTCTTCCATCTGCCTGTTCTTTGCCAACCACCTCAAATCATCGTCCAGTAGTTCCTGAACCTTCTGCCACTGGAAGCAGTTTCTCCTGACTTACATTATGAACACCATTCATGATTTGGCACTCCTATCATATTTGTTCTTAACCTTTTCAGCTGTAAGGCAAATAACCCCAGGTTCTTAGCCTCTTCATATAACTCAAGTCCTACACTCCTGGTAACACTCAAGTAAATAACTTCTGCACCATTTCTAAGGACTTGTCATGTTCCTGTAGTCTCCAGAACTAAGACAATACTCCAGCCATGGGCCATAAGACAAAAATGCATAAGTAGGCCATTCACCCTCTCTAGTTTGTTCCATCATTCATTGAGATCATGGCTGATCTGATAATTCTCAACTCCACTTGTCTGCCTTTTCCCCATGACCCCTTCTTCTCTTACTGATTAAAAATCTATCCATCTCAGCTTGAATATACTTAATGACCCAACCCCCACAGCTCATATGGTAAAGAATTCAGATTTAATGCCCTCTCAGAAAAGAAATTCCTTCTGATCTCTATCTTAAAGGGTGATCCCTTATTCTGAGATTATGCCCATTGGTCTTAGACTTTTCCAGTGTTTTAGAAACACACAAATCAGGAGCAGGAGTAGGTCATTCGGCCTTTAGAGTCTGCTCCACCATTCAGAATGATCATGGCTGATCCGCTATCTCAACGTAATATTCATGCATTTTACTCATATCCCTTGATGTCTTTTACATCTATGTACATATCTCTTTCTTGAATATATTCAATGACTTGACCTCCATAGCTTTCTGGAGAAAATTCCACAGGTTCATGACCCTTTGAGTGAAGAAATGTTTCATCTCACTTCTAAATGGTCTAGCCTGTATCCTGAGACTTTCACCGTGCCCTCCCCCTGCCACCCACGTCTGGACTCCCCACAGAGAGAAAACATCCTCCCTGCATCTAATCTGTCTTGCCTTGTTCAAATTTTATACGTTTCAATCAGATCCCCTCTCATCCTTCTAAACTCTAGTGAATACAGACCCAGTTGAACCAATCTCTCCTCATAGGACTCTCTTGTCATCCGAGGTATCAGCCTAGTGAACCTTCTGCTGCACTTACTCTAGGGCAAGCATATTCATTCTTAGGTAGAGAGACCAAAATTGTATGCAATTTTCCAGGTATGGTCACTACTGAAGTCTACTCTACTACAGAGGTCAGATACAAATTTATTTATATCTTATTCATGCTCTCTGCCTCCTATTTGGCTCCACTCCATGTTTAAGCATCCTTTTGAATGATCTTTTATATTAGCCACAAATTTACTCTTATGCTTTCTGTTTGTTCCCCACTTCTTTCTTTCCATATTTAACTTAATTGACTGTTGTATTGTACCATTCAGTTATTATAAGCCATCATGTAACTGTTTCATTTTAATCTTTACATCTTTAATATTTTGTTGAACTTTCTCATCTTACACTCGTCAGGATATTTACGAGAATACCAATGTAAAGGGAACAATGGTACACTGTATAAAAGGAGATTGCTAAATGGTTGGTATGTGGATTCTGATTGGTAACAGCATGGGTCCAGTGACTACCCTGTCTGCTGCAAACAGCCAAAACGATGCATTGTTTGATACAATCTGCCAGTCTTTGGGGCATATGGCCTTTATACCTACATTACACCAGCATTGAATTTCATATGCCACATTACTCATTTGTGTGATCATTTTGACTTGATAGCAGCATCCTGATGTGGTGAACACTGTTTGTTTTGTTAGTGCATAGTAGCAGTGTGAAATAGCCAGCTTGACCTATTGCTCAAATATTTGGGATATCTTAATCTAAGGTATATTAGGCACTTTTCAGGAAAGAAAGTGTTGGCCTTAGGCTAATCCAGGAGTTGCGCAATATATAGTAACAAATGTTCTGATCAGGGTAGGCACTATCTGCAAGATGGCTTCAACTGTTCACAACAGGCAAGGTACTAGTTTGAAAAACTCAAAACAGTATCCAACATTAGATGTGATTCCACAACTAGGTATCAATTGGTTAAATAATCCAGAGTGTGCTAAGAATTACACTAATAAGCAATACAGAATAACACAATATAACCACTTGCTGGAAGATACATATGTTATTACAGAGTCCTATTCTTTGCAGACAGAAAGAACACACACAGACATTGGACCTGTTTCAACTTATTAAAATAGGTGACAGCTATTGTCTGATTTATTTCTCAGGGCAACACCTCAACCAATCAGAATCAATCTGCCTGTTAAATTTAAACAAAGTTTAGCATTAACTGTCAGTCATCATTTAAGTGGTGCATTTTCCATGACAATACCTTTATCAGAGTCGACTTTCCAACCAATCAGCACTTTATTCTCATACATATAAAAGGTTGTTCTCCTTTATATTGGTGTTCTTGCAAATGTTCTAATAATTGCAAAATGAAAACGTGTCTTCAATAATCAAGTTTGTAGTACTTAACAAATTTATATCGTTAGTAAACTTGAGAGTTCCAGATTTGGATTTTCTCCCTCACAAAATAAGTTAAACCTCTTTCGGTTAAACTATTTTTATATTTGATTGGTCCTTGTTCTTTTCAACAAATATTCCATATCTGATGATATTATGAATACTGTTCCCCAAGTGAAACATTCTCCACTGCCCACATTTCCTTCAAAACTAGATCCTGTGCTGCTTCCTTCCGCATTGGACTAGAAACATACTGGTCAAGAAAGTTCTTTCACATATGTTTCACAGATTCCTCCACTTCTTTGCTCATCACACAGTTACAATCCCAGTCTACGTTAGGATAATTACAGGCCCCCATTATCACTGCAGTTATCCCTACTTTACAATTCTTGCATCTAATAAGTAAATCTAATAAAGCATTTCAAGTTCTTTAAATAAAATCAAAAAAAGTTTCATATCATTACATCAATACATACCAAATGCTCAATGGGACAGAGAGTCATCACCTTCACTAAATCCTATGGGCAGAAATTTGAGAAATGTATTTATTAATATGTTAGCCAGAAATTAAACATTATAACCCATGTTACAATTGTTAGCTGCTCCAATGTTAATCTTAGTTAAAGTCTGGAACCCACATATATTTCCTTTATGCTTGACTTGTGAACTACCTGAGGAACACTAAGAATACTCTTCATTTCCAAATACTTGTGGCAGAGATGATTATCTTCAATTGTTAATAAGCAATGTTCAAATAATTCCTGAAAAATATAGATTCAAATAGATATACAATAAATCATTGAAGTTCAGATATCAAAAGAATGAATTAAACCAGTAATTAATTGGATTTTAATTGTTTTTAATCCAAGAGCAAGGGCTGCTTTTTATGGAGCATTCTTTAAAAATGGAAGCCAGAACCTGGATATGAAAGTATAGTCCAGCAGATCCTGATTTTTGTCTTCAGGGGTGAAGGAGGTGGGGCATAAATTAAACAGGCAGAAAACCTGAAGTCAGCAGAGGCATTGAAAATTGCTGCTCAGTCAAGCAGCACCATATTCACAATCCAAGGGCCTGAACCTACAGTGCAAGAATCATGAATGTATGGATAAAGCATAAATGTTCTTGAAGGTCAATAAGATCTTTGTATTGCTGCTGGAGTGCATTGATTGACGGGCCCACTGATGTAGTTTTAAAAAAAAAAATCATGTCCCTATAGATTTAACAGACTTCACGATTGATACATACTTGAGGGCTGTTACTACAGCTAAGCTCATTGTGAAGGCTTAGCTGAGTTTCAAAATCTCCAAACACCACCTATCATAATCAGCTGTTGGCGGGAGTGTGGGGTTGGGTCGAGTTGGGGAGTTGTGCACCCTTTGAGAAATGCAGATAATTGGAAGCAACTTCTGGATTTCTGTATTAAATCATGCATGCGTGGACTCCAAAAGCTGGTGAAAGTTTCAGATGAATAATGATGGTGAACACGTCTTTGCAACCATTATTGCTGCAAATCCCTGGCCATTATTTGTCACACAGAAGAAATTTATACTTAGACCAGTATATTTGACAGATTGGAGTTGGAGATTCAGCAGTGAGTTTGAAGAGTTTTTCAGGCTTTCCAACATAAAATACAAAAATACCTACCAGACCTTTAGACAAAATGGACTCTTCTGTCCTGTTATTAGAATAAACAAAGTGATTTTATGCAATCAGAAGAAACATTTTATAACTATAACAAAAAGTACATTCATAAACTGTTTATGAAAATGTTCACAATCTTTTAAAACCAGTAACTTAATAATCGTGAGATATTCATGAAATTAGAAGTTACCAAGAGTTTTATCCTTTTTACATTGGATCAGAAATCACAGAACACCAGGTTATATTCAACATACAAATGCATAGACATTCTCTCTCTCTCCACAGACGCGCGCACACACACACACACACACACACACACACACACTCTCTTTCTCTCTCCAAACATACACACTCTCTCTCACACACACACAATCTGACTCCAAACCAAAACACAAACAGATTCTAAACACCTCTTCTTTACACTAATAAAACCTTTAGTTCTCTCAGGATAGTGACTTTAAAGGAATCTGGGGATTTACATACACATATTAATCAATTAAAACCTTCTAACTGATTAAAGATTGAACAGCATCGCAGGTTTGTTTAATACATCCTGATCAGTGGTGTGACCCTTTGATCTTTTACTTATAAATTCTTTGTCTGATTGTACCTGTCTCACTAATGCCTGAAGGACGAGTGAGGCTCTAAAAGCTTGTGTTTTCAAATAAACCTGTTGGACTTTAACCTGGTGTTGTGTGATTTCTGAATTTGTCCACCCCAGTGCAACACCTGCACCTACACCTTCACATCATGGCTATCTCTTTTCATTACAAATGATTTGGGAGGTTTGCCTATAAAGCATCAATAGATCTCTCAATGCAAAGCACAGCAATATTGGAAAATATACTCTCAGCTTCACTATTGGCAATATCACTGAGGTCATAGTGAAGTGTGATAAATAAGCCAGTTTTGAGATAGTTTGGTGTGTAGAATAGAAAGTATGTGAAGGAATTCCAGAGTACTTTACTATCAAAACACAACTGATGGGAGAAAAGAGGCAGAGACATCAAGAGTGAAAGATTTGAATTAACCCCTTATCTCCCTTCTACCTTTCCAACTCATAGTGGACTCTTTCAACTTAGTAGAAGGGTCAATAATTGGGGGCACAGTTTTAAGGTAAGGATCAGGAGGTTTAGAGGGCATTTGAGAAAAAAAAATCACTCAGAAGGTTGTGAGTATCTAGAACTTACTATTTTAAGTTTGGAGAGGTTGGAACTCTCAAGACATTTAAGATCTACTTACGTGAGCACTTGAAACACCATAACATTCAAGTGCTGGAAAATGGGATTAGAATAGATGGATGTTTGACTGGCACAGACATGATGGGCCAAAAGGCCTCTTTCTGTGCTGCAAAAACTTTGACTCTCAAGCTTCCTGCGTCATGCTCCAAGATCTTATTGAAATTCACGGCCTACGTTTATGAGAGTGGTCAACACACTAATCCTGATCCACAGCAGAGTCAATTGACTGATATCAATCCTGCCAAAGGAGGAAGTATGGGACTAGAACATTGTCATCAATGGAACCCAGAGGGTGATTTTCCAGGACATGGACTCCCGATTCTGGTTGCCTCAAGGTGCAAGCAACCTCTGAAAAATAAAATTATCAATTGAAAATGATCACAGCTGCCAGACTGTCCATATGGAAGGAAAATCCCTGGAGAACAGACAGCCTATGGCCATAGGTAGCTCTCTGCCATTCAAACTTGGGAGGGATTGGTACTAAATTCGATGAGGCATCCCTACGCTGCCACTGAAAAGGCATTTCAATTCATCAATTAAACTCCAGCTTCAGCAGGCAGCCCATCTGCCTCCCAGATGGTTCAGTCTGTTGTCTTCAAAACAGCAGAAGGAAAGAAAACAATTGGGAAAAGGAGTCAGGCATCTCCCTTGATTTAGGCTATTACATTGGAAAGTTTGTGTTATTACACAAGTTTTAATCATATTATTAATCAGTGCAATAGTTCTCCAGATATTTAAACTTACTTGCTAATCAGTGCAGCGATATATTCCATATTAACTAGAAGCAGGTATCCAGGACTGCAAAACAGAGATTGCAATTTAAAAAATTAAAACTGATCATTTTAATGAAATATCATTCACAGGTGATTCCACGCAAATTACAATGCCCAGAAATTGCAAAAATGTCAATTAAAACCAAAAGGACTGCAGATGCTGTAAACTGGAAACAAAAACAGAAATTGCTGGAAAAGCTCAGCAGGTCTGGCAGCATCTGCGGACAGAAATCAGAGTTAACATTTTGGGTCGTGTGATCGTTCCTCAGAATTTGGAGTTCTGAGTAAGAGTCACTTGGCACGAAATGTTAACTCTTATTTCTTTCCACAGATGCTGCCAGACCTGTTGAGTGTTTCCAGCAATTTCTTTAAAATGTCAATTGTTTGTTTTCTGTGTTACTTGACATTGATTTCCAAAATTTGAATGTAAAATCATAAATAAACTTTTTTTGTATTTGCACTCTATAGCAGGGTGATTGCAATATTGCTATGAGCCCCTAATCTTGTTGATATGTCCATCTAGTTAAGTGATACGATAGAACAATTGGATCACCGCAAAAGTGAGAAGATTCTTTTTGATAAATTTGCATTTTTGTTTTCTGCTATGGTTTTGGTCATGGCTAGCATTGCCAGCTGACAAATGTGACTTTCCTAACCCCTGCCATAGCTTGTGATGCACTAGCCAACAACTTCTGTATCAATTTCCAGCCAAGTGTTCCATTTTCCAGGCTGCTGTTTTCTCAGTCTACAGCAAATCAACTAGTGGTACACATTTATCATAAATTATTAACTCTATGTAATTTTCCACCCCCAGTCCAATTAATTTTCTTTTGCAAATGTTCTAAAGATGAGTCATACTGGACTCCAAATGTTAACTCTGTTTCTCTCTCTACACATGCTGTGAAACCTGCTGAGTTCCTCCAGCATTTTTTGGTTTATCTTTAATTATCTTTCGTCCTAGCATGAAGCTGCTGACCTCTTAAAGGGGAACAGCTACCCTGTGGTAATATTCCTTGACTTAGAATGTTATTCACGCATCAAGTTTTGAAAATGTATAATACTAGATTCATTTTTGACAGTTGACCTCAACCAAGCAGTACTCGAATATTCAGGTGCTTAGTGGATAAGTTGCTGAACCACTGGGAAGGTTCCTTTGATTACACAACTGTTGACGGAAAGCAGTAAAAACTTGAAATCTGTTAGCAACATAAATTTTTACCTGAGTATCTATTATCTTCTGTGCTTTAAATATTTGATTCTGTTTCTTGACATGATTCAACTTACTTAAGTATTAGTAAGATCACAATAATAATTGGACCATTTCAAATTTGGGTTTTTAAGCTAGGACTGTGTGAAAACACAGCAGATGACTTTGCACTGTAAAACACAGAAACATAAAATATTCTATTCTGAAGAAGGGTCACTGGACCCAAAATGATAGACCATAAGACCTAGGAGCAGAAATTAGGCCATTCAGCCCATCGAGTCTGCTCCAGCATTCAATTGTGGCTGATAAGTTTCTCAACCCCATTCTCCCACTTTCTCCCCGTAACCCTTGATCCCCTTGACAATCAAGAACCTATCTATCTCAGTCTTAAATATACTTAGTGAATTGGCCTCCACAGCCTTCTGTGGCAGTGAATTGACACTGCATTCTCTCCACAGATGCTGCCAGACCTCCTGAAGTTCTCCAGCAATTTCTATTTTTATGTAAAATATTCTATGGTGCCTCATATAGATTAAGAACACAATAAGCAGAAGAATGAATAAAATTATCTGCACGAATCATTGTTCAAAAACAAAAATGAATTTGAGGAAGGTTTGGAAAGCAAGGGAAGAAGTTCCAAGTTGCTGGTGTGGGACTGAGAGCAGGAACATGGTAGAATTGGTTCGAGTTCCAGAGATAGCAAGAGTTATAATGATCTGAATTTTGCATCTATTCTTGGAATGCTATGCAAAATAATGGGCCTTCATTTTTACATACCTGTATATAGCTGGAAATTGATCAATGCCAATATGCTGAACAAATAAAAGATATGCCAAGCTTGCCAGAGAATCTGTAGGGTATTTCACATCTTCCTTCAGAGGGTCAATCTCTTGCAATGTCTTTCTGGACCGTAGCAACTGATGAGCCATTAACACAGGAAGCGACTCACCCATTGCTAATAGGTAAACCTACGGAGAAGAATAGCACTATTTAAGCAACTACAAACTTCTCTGCCAAACTGATAAAATGTATGGTCCAGGAATGTCATCAAAATTCCAAGGCGTGAATGATGCCAATTAAGTGGTTAAATGTTTAGGGTAGATTTGGGTGGATGAGAGTTATCGACTCCAGTAGGAAGGGTGCGAATGTCATGTCCAGTAATGGAGAAGAGGAGGTATTGTGTCTGGAGGAGACAGCAAGGCTGTTGGGTCTTTGAGCGAATAGGTGGGGTAAAGTGTGTTGGCTATTAAGTCAGGGGTCCAGTAGGTGTAAGAGGTCTGGGGGTTTTGGGGATAGTTATCCAAAAGTTAGAGTAGGTTTTTAATACCTATCTCTTCCTGGCTGACTATTATCTTAACTGAAGCGGAACCCTTGAAAATCTCCAAGTTAAATGGATACTTTTGGAGCTTTCCAGGTACAAGAGAATTGCCTATCAGAAATCTTCAATTTCCCAGGCAATTCCATTCGAGTCAGCTATATAGGAATTGTGCATCGCTAAATCCCCTACCTACGCTGCAAAAATAATTAATCTGGCCGTTGGAAAATCATAACCAGTGCTTTAGGTATTGTCTTGCCAATACCATGTACATGTGTACCAAAAATTCCCAACTTTTATAAGTTCTGAGGACGGGTCACCGGACCCGAAACTCTGTTTTTTCCTTCACAGATGCTGCCAGACATGCTGAGCTTTTCCAGCAACTTTGTTTTTGTTCCCAACTTTTATACTATTTCCACCTTGCAATAAATGCCAAATGTCTTTTCCTAGTTATTTGCTGTAATAGCATATTAACTTTTTGCGTACTAGAGTATCCAAATCTCTCTGTACCACAGCATTCTTTAGTCTTTCACCATTTTAATCATATTTTATTTTGTCATTCTTCTGACCAAAGTGGCCAACCTATCATTTTCCCACAATAATATTCTATCAGCCAAATCTTTGTCCACTCATTTAACCTAGCCACATCCCTTTTGTGATAAACATATATTATCACTTTTTGAATTTATACTTCAAAATAGAGACAAATGTTTTTGTTTCAGTTCTGTAATGGTAGTTCTGAAGAAAAAAAGTCAGGAAGTCATTTGCACAACGACTTAAGTGCATCAGTTCTAAGAAATCGATTGCAATCAAATGCCTATGAGAACCAGGTCATGTTAATGGGCAAATGTTTACATTGCTGAGCTTATGACTGATAGAGTAAACATGCCACAAAGTTATTATGTTTAGTTTCAATTTCAAAACACAAGTTCTGAAGTGTTCAGTTCATGGGATGCCATCGACTCAGAAGTGGTTTCTAGTGTGGAGTTTCCAAGCCAATGGAGCTTGGACAGACATTTTCAAGTTGTTTGAACTGAAAAATGTCTAGGGCATCAAAATTGCAAGCGATTCTTGCCAGCTGACCTGGAAGTCGTCTCCACAGTCCAAGAAAAAGAATCTGGGTAAAATTGGTTAAGTAAACATTTTAAAAAGTTGAGATAGGAGTGATATTTCTCAGAGATTTGGTCTCTGTAACAGTCATGGGAAAAAAAATTGAAAAATTGTCACGTTTTTGATCTTCTGAACTGTTTTCAATAAATAGTTGAAGCTTTTTGTGTCATAAATTATGTTCGGTTGTTAAAGAGAATTTGTGTGGTATTGTGTGAAGATGTTTCATAACTAACCAGGGTTATTAATCAACCGCAAAAATTAAACATATGATGTATCAAGCCAGATTTCATTCTTGGACGGACTTATCCAGCATTAACATCAACTGTTAACATTAACATAACATTAACACTTTGCAGACTCTTGGGCTGTATTTTCTTATCCTAGCATGGATAACCTATGTTGGGCAAATAGATAAAAAGGCCGCTAAGTCCCACATATGAAAGTCCCACCTCTACTTCTGTATCCAGCAATTTGAAGCAAAAACTTAACATTTCACAAGTCTACAAGGAATTTTGGAAGGTTACAATTAATGCGTCCTCTATCTCTGTACCTACTTCTTTTTAGGATCCAGATTGCAGGCTGTCAGATCTCATTAATTTTCCTAGTTTTTTTTCCTGTAGTGATCTTGATCGTTTAAGTTCTTCCCTCCCTTTTCCCCCTGATTTTCTACTATTCGTCAGATGTCTTCTATAATGAAGATACTTGATACAAAACACCTGTTCTAATTCTCTGCCATTCTCTTGATTTCCATCACTAATCCTCCAGTCTTGTCCTCTAAGTGACCAAAGTTTACTTCAATTTTTCCAATCCTTCATATATTTGCAGAAATTCTTACTTTTTCTAAGATTTATTGCTAATATACTCTCATTGTAATTTCTCTCAACTTTTTACTATTCCAGTTCTGAGGAAGGGTCACCATACCTGAAACGTTAACTCTGTTTTCTCCTTCATAGATGCTGCCAGACCTGCTGAGCTTTTCCAGCAACTTTGTTTTTGTTCCTGATTTACAGCATCCACAGTTCTTTCGGGTTTATTTTTATTATCCTTGTCTACTTCTAAAATTTTCCTAGTCTTCTGACCTTTTACTAATCTCTGCAGCATTGAATGCCTTTTCTTTCAACCTGAAATTATTTTTAAATTCCTTAATAAGCCATGGATGCTTCATCCTTTTCAAAGAGGCTTTCTTTCTCAATGGAATATATCAAGTAATAAGATTGATTGATTGATTGATTTATTGTTAAGTGCACCAAAATACAATAAAAAGCTTGGTTTACAAGCAGTGCAGGCAGATCATAGTAAGCAAGGATGTACTGATCAAAGACTTATACAGAGGCATACAGGTTACATTGCACACAGGTGTGCACTAGGCGAGATCAACGTTAGCAAGATCAGCATTATTTAAGGCTAGACAGTCCATTCATCAGTCTGATAATGGCCAGGAAGAAGCTGTTCTCCAATCTGCCGGTGTGCGTGTTCAGGCTTCTATATCTTCTGCCCAACGGAAGAGGCTATGGGAGATCATTACCAGGGTGCAATGGGTCTTTGATGATGTTGGCAGCCTTTCTGCAGCAGTGAGCTGTGTAAATGGAGTCCATGGATGGAAGGTTGGCTTCCGTGATGGTTTGGGTTGTGCACACCACCTTCTGTAGTTTCTTACGGTCCTGGGCAGGCAGAGCAGTTGCCATACCAGGCCGTTATGCACCCAGACAGTATGCTTTCAATGGTGCATTCGTAGAAGCTGGTCAAGATCCTTATGGACACGCCAAATTTCCTGAGGAAGAAGAGGTGTTGTTGCACTTTCTTGACCGTCGCATCTACATGGGAAGCCTAGGACAGGTTGTCGGTTATCGTCATGCCGAGGAACTTGATGGTCTTCACCCTCAGCTTCAGTTCCGTTGACATCAATGGGGGTATGCTCTCCTCCTTTCTTTCTGGAGTCAATGATCAATTCTTTAGCTTTGCCGACGTTGACAGAGAGGTTGTTCTCACTGCACCAAGTCACCAAGCCCTCTATCTACCTTCAGTATTTTGACTCGTTGTTGTTAAATATCCGTCCTACTATGGTGGTGTCGTCAGCAAACTTGTAGATGGCATTGATTCGGAATTTGGCAACACAGTCGTGGGTGTACAAGAAGTACAGTAGGGGGCTGACGATGCATCCTTGGAGGGCTCCAGTGTTGAGTATTATTGTGAAGGAGGTGCTGTTATCTATCTTCACGGATTGCAGTTTGTAGATCAAAAAGCTGAGGGTCCAGTTGCAGAGGATGGAGCTGAGACCAAGGTCACGGAGTTTTGAGATCAGTCTGGAGCAGATAAAGGTGTTGAAGGCAGAGATGTAGTCAATGAGCAGGAATCTGACATGGGTGTCTTTGTTGTCCAGATGTTCCCAGGATTGAGTGCAGGGCTAGGAATATGGCATCAACTGTGTACCTGTTATGTCAGTAGGCAAATTGTAGGGGATTGAGGCAGGCTGGGGGACTTGAGTTGATGTGGGCCATGGCCAGCCACTCGAAGAACTTCATGATTACTGAGGTCAGAGCTATTGGGCGGTAATCATTAAGGCACATTGCGGGATGATGGTAGTCTTCTTGAAGCAGATGGGGACTTCGGCTTGTGGGAAGGAAAGGTTGAAGGTGTCAGTGAATACCTCCACACAGTTGATCTGCACGGTATGCGAGTGCTCAGCCGGGGAGACTGTCTGGGCCTGTTGCTTTCCTTGGGTTGGCTCCCAGGAAGACCGATCTGATGTCTGCAGATGTGACCAAGGGAACAGGTGTGTCCGGGGCTGTCAGAGCTGGTGTCACTGCACCGCTGGCATTCTGCTCAAACCGAGCATAGAAAGGACATCAGGGAGGGATGTGTCTTTGATGGCTATCTTGCTCTGCTTCATTTTGCATAATGTAAGGTTGTTTAGGCCTTGCCATTGGCAGTGAGAGTCTGTTTGGTAGATTTAGGCCTCTGACTTGGTCCGGTACTGCCTCTTGACATCCCTGATGGTTTTGCGGTGGTCATATCTGGATGTCCTGTAGTAGTCTGGGTCATCCAACTTGAATGCTGCATATCTGGTCTTCAGTATGGAGTAGTATCTCATAGGATTTGTTTCCTTGCTGTATGAGTCTTTGGTCCAACTAGTCCATGCTGACCATGTTCTCAAACTAACCCCTCACCTTCTATGCTCCAGTGAAGAATGTCCCAGCCCATCTAGCCTACTTTTATAACTCAAACCCTCCATTCCTGGCAAAATTCTAGTAAATCTTTTCTGAACCCTCTCCAGTTTAATAATATCCTTCCTATAATAGGGCAACCAGAACTGCACACAGTACTCCAGAAGAGGCCTCATCAATGCCCTGTACGAACTCAACATGACCTCCCAATTCCTATAGTCAAAGGTCTGAGCAATGAAGGTAAGCATGCCGAATGTCTTCTTAACCACCCTGTCTGCCTATGATGCAAATTTCAAAGAATTATGTAGCGGAACCGCTAGGTGTCTACGACACTACCCGGGGCCCTACCATTAATTATACAAGTGCTGCCCTTGTTTGTTTTACCAAAATACAATAACTCACATTTATCCAAATTAAAAACCTTCATCTGCCACTCCTCAGCCCAATGACCCAAATGATCAAGATCTCTTTGTAATATTAAATAATCTTCTTTACTGTTCACAATACCACCAATTTTAGAGTCACAAGCAAACTTATTAAGCATGCCTCCTATATCATCATCCAAATCATTCATGTAAATGACAGAAAAATGTAGACCCAGTACCAAACACCGCTGGTCACAGGCCTTCAATTTGAAAACCAACCCTCCACCGCCACCTTTAGAGAAGGAATTGGTGGAGGATGATCTCAGGGAAGGGAGTTTTGAATTTCTATACCAAGTTGCTATTAAAAAGGAAGAGATGTTGTGAGTCTTAAAAGGTATTAAGGTAGGTAAGTCCCCGCATCTGATGGGATCTATCCCATAATATTAAGGGAGGCAAGAGAATAAATTGACAGATATCTTTGTATCCTCTTTAGCCAGAGGTGTGGTCCCAGAGGACTGGAGAATAGCCAATGTTGACCCATTGTTTAAGAAGGGTAACAGGGATAATCCTGGAAATTACAAGCCTGTGAGCCTCACGTCAGTGGTAAGATTCTCAGGGATAAGATCTATACGTATTTAGAAGCAAATGGACTTGTTAGCAATAGACAACATGGTTTTGTGTAGGGGAGGTCATGCCTCACTAACCTGATCAAGTTTTTTGAGGTGGTGACAAAGATGATTGATGAGGGAAAAGCGGTTGATGTTGTCTACATGGACTTCAGTAAAGCCTTTGACAAGCCTTATGGCAGACTGCTACAAAAGGTGGAGTCACATGGTATCAGAGGTGAGCTGGCAAGATGGATACAGAACTGGCTTAGTCATTGGAGACAGAAGGTAGCGGTGGAGGGATAATTTTCAGAATGGAGGGTTGTGACTGGTGGTGTTCCACAGAGATCAGTGCTGGGACCTCTGCTGTTCGTGGTCTATATAAATGATTTGGAAGGAAACATGGCTGGTCAAATTACTAAGTTTGCGGACGATACAAAGATTGGTGGAGTTGCAGATAGTGAGGAGGATTGTCAGAGCATACAGCAGGATGTAGATCAGGTGAAGGCATGGGCAGAAAAATGCCAGATGGACTTTAATCGAGACAAATGTGAGGTGATGCATTTTGGAAGGTCAAGTACAGGCGGGAATTATACAGTGAATGGCAGAACCCTTAGGAGTATTGATATGCAGAGGGATCTGGGTGTGCAGGTCACAGATCACTGAAGGTGGCAGCTCAGGCAGATAAGGTAGTGAAAAAGGCCTATGGCATGCTTGCCTTCATTGGAAGAGGCACTGAGTATAAGGATAGGCAAGTTTTATGGTGCAGCTTTATAAAATGTTAATTTGGCCACACCTGGAATATTGCGTACAGTTCCGGTCACCACACTACCAGAAGGATGTGGATGCTTCAGAGAGAGTACAGAAAAGGTTTACCAGGATGTTACCTGGTATGGGGGATTTTACCTATGAAGAATGGTTGGATAGACTGGGTTTGTTTTCATCAGAATGCAGGAGGTTGAGGGGCAACCTGATAGAAGTTTATAACATTGTGAATAACATGGACAGAGGGGAAAGTATGAGATTTTTTCCCCCAGGGTGGCGGGGTCGATTACTAGGGGACACAGGTTCAAGGTGCTGGGAGGGGGGTGAAATTTAAGAGATGTGCGAGGCAAGTTTTTCATACAAAAGGGTGGTGAGTGCCTGGAATGCACTGCCAGAGGTGGTGGTGGAAGTAGACAATAGCAGCATTAAAGAAACACCTGGACAAATACATGAATAGGAAGGGAATAGAGGGATACAGATCCTGTGAGTGAAGACAGTTTTAGTATGGAAGGGAAAAATGTGTTGGCACAGGCTTGGAGGGCCAAATGACCTGTTCTTGTGCTCTATTTTCCTTTGTTCACCTTCTGTCTCCCACTATAAGGCCAATTTTGTATCTATTGGCAAGCTCACCTGGAATCCCATGTATCTAACTTTCCTAATTAGTTTACCATGCAGAACCTTCAAGGACTTTAGTAAAGCCTAAGTAAACAACATCCACTGCTCTGCCCTCGTCAAACTTTTTGGTTACTTCCTCAAAAAGACTCAATCAAGTTTGTCGAGACATGATTTCCTTTGCACTAAACCATGCTGACTATCCCTAATCATTCCTTGCCTCTCCAAATGCATGTAAAGGCTATCTTTCAGAATCACTTCCGATAACGTACTCACCACAATCTCCTTATAGGTCCGTCACTGCCTATCTAACATCTTAACTTTTAACTTATTTTCCCCATCTAGTTTAGCCAACTCTGTCTTCATATCTTCGTAATTCTTTCCAGAACAAGAAATCATAGCTAAAATTAAGCTATCACTCATTTAAGATAGAGTTGAGGAAATTTCTCTCAGAGGGTTGGAATTTGCTTCTTCAAGAAGCAATGGATGCAGAATCTTTAAAAATTTTTAAGGCAGAGATAGATAGATTCTTGATTACCAACAAGAAAAATTATTGAGGTATGCAGGAATATACAGCTGAAGTTAAAATCAGATCGGCCATGTTCAAGAGCCGAATGGCTGTAGTGTTGGGCTTAAAAAAGTCTCCAAACCAGACTATTAGGGGTTAATGGTTAAGCATCAATTGGACACAACATTGAACAACTGAAGCAAAAATGGAAAAATAGGCCTGGTGTAAAAAATAGCCTGTTTTGGCTGGATGGTATCTGTATAACCTTGTCTGTCTGAAGGAAACATAAATTTATATAGTTAACATGGAGCCACCTGCAGATGTTTTCAACTTGTTTTCTGCACAATGTAATATCTGGAAAAGTACGAGAAGTACTACGAAATGGTGATATAGCTCATAACCAGAATTGTATGAATATCAAGGACTTTGTCCCATTCATTGAACTTTCCCCACTGGGCCGGCTTCAAGAGATTGGGGGCCGTGGACATTCACCATCGGACTGGGGTTTGTGAAACCAGTACCATGGAATCTGAGATAGAGCTCGAAGTGCCAGCGTCCATAGTCCCTGGCATGAAGACAAAGCCGTGGGTATAAAGTAGTTTAAGCTAATAGATTCACAAATTAATTAGTATATGTATTAAGTAGACTAAACTAATAAAATTAGCTATACATGGAAGTGCATGTGTCTTCTTATAATCACTTTGATCAGACCTTAAAGAACCTGTTATGTACTTTCAGCCTAACAACACATTGGCCTACTCTTGTTCCTTGTTCATAATTATCTGATAATAAATTCAAACACAAATTTTTCTGATCAAACTGAATATCAAAGTCTACCGTATTCTGAACGTCACTGTCTACCGTGTTATAACCACTATTCCTGACAGGATATTATACTTCTGTGATAATTAATTATTCCAGTTTCATTATAAATTACCAGATATAAAATGTGCATTCCCTGATTGGGTCCACAACGTATTGTTCCAAGAACTGCCCCGAACACATTTTATGAATTTCCTCAAGTCTACCATTACCAATTTGATTTAGATCATCTGAAATTTGAAATCACCTACTATTATTCAAGAACTTTTCATAAGGTTAATTTTAATTTTTCACGTCAAAATCATTTTTCTGTATTGTACTGATCTCACCCTATAACTCATTTCCTTTTCCTTTCTTCTCAACCTTTTGCGATGTTAAATAACTTTAAATATTCAACCATCGTCAACATACAACGATGAATCTATGATAGCTTTCATATAAACCTAGCTACTTCCGGTTTGTGCCATCAATTTGTGCATTTTGCTTTAAATGCTGTGTGCACTTTCCAAATTTCTCTTCACAGGCAAAATTACCTCAGGGGTAGCATGAGGAGAGATATGAGAGAAGACAAAAATTGATACAAATTCAGGGCCAAGGTAGGGGGAACCTTAGAGAGAGTCTAATTGGGTGGGCTAGCTGAAGGGAGTGAAGAAGCAAAGTTATTTGATTATATGATTTTGAACATAATGGCAAAGAAGTCCACAAATGCAATCCAAGGAACCTTTCAATGCAATCTCGTTTCACAATTGCTATTAGAGCAATCACATGATTGTACTGATCCACTTAAATGCAGTATGTAACCCATTATATAAATGCAAGATAAAAATCTTAAATTGGACATGTACCAATTTGTAAAATATGCTGTGATTTAATAACATAAATTGTTTAGTTAAGGTCTAATTTATTCAGAATGTAGGAAATAAACATGTAGAATACAGATGCACTTTCAAAGGAACAGATTAAAACTTTACTAGTAAGGTGATAAAATGATGTAGTCAGATCAGTCTTACCACAATTTCAGCAGCAAAGGTTTTCAATGAGTTGTTCTCAATCTCTTCAGTTAATGGACATAATTGTGCTGTCAGCAGAGGGTATTCCAAACTTTTCATGCAACTATATCAATTGTAAATACATCAATTAGGTGGCATTCATTAATTTGTTTGACAAAAGCCCTTAGTCAACAACATGCTGATCATTGAAATGAAAATTAAGTACCTACAATTTCAGTAGTTCATCCTTTAGCTCATTACAGGAAGGGTTTCCCTCAGATTCTGTTGCGTCACTCACTTCATCCACAAATGGTTTAATAAAAGAGGTTACAGCCATGCAACACTTGCAAAGTTCATATTCATCCTGTTTACGGTGCTCATTAGTATAAGGTACAGGTAGTTTGGAGAGTTGGCTATGAATGGTTGCAAGAGACAACCCCACAGAATATGCCTTTTTATGTTTCATCTTTAACAGCACTGGGAAAAAAATTAAGAAATTAAATCCAAGAGATCAAGTAAAACCTCTTTAAAATGACATTTTATTACAAGAAAAGCAAAAATACAAAATATTAACTAATCTAAAATTCCATACTTGCAGAATACCAGACCATATCTAAAACCAAAGTCAGTTTGTGACTTAACAAAAAGTAGTCAAGCCAGACATTGCTTAAGGAATATGTTTAATTAAAGGCAAATTGGTCTTTTAAGAAAGACTTGACATTTTCCTATGATTACAAGTAATGGTTAGCTTGGAATTAGGTCTTGAAAATTTATATTACATCATAGGTACATCACAGAATCTTATTAATACATTTAGAATAAAAGTAAAGATTTCTAAAGGTCTTCAAACAAGATGAATTCTGCCTTCCCAAGCATTCTGATTGTTTCTTTAAAGACAGCTCAATTAAATAGACAATACAACAAAATTATATGTAAGGCTTTGTTTTTGCAGAGGCCACTTGAAGCAAGAACTGGGGTAGAGAGCATGTGATTTTATGCCACTGGCTGGTGTGTCATTTTTAGGAGGGCCAGATTGCTGCATTTCAGTGGCGGGAGTCAGGAGAGTGCGAGCCAGGGAGCAGCCAGGAAATTACGTTTGAGTATAAAATAATTGCCTCGTGAATAGGTGGAGCGAAGGCTGAGCAGGAGCAAATGCAGACACAGGGACTGCTGGGTAAGTGAACTAATATATTCAGGCACTGGCTAAACCCGAAACACTACACGTGTAGTGTCTCCCACCCATCCTCCTCCTCTAACCAAAAAAAAGCCTCTGTGTGGAGGGTCGGTAAGGTATTTTTCTTTTCTCTTACTTTTTCTTTATCTCTTTTGGCAATTTAGAGCAGAGGGGATGGAAGCTAGGGCAGTTGCATGCTCCTCTTGTAGGATGTGGGAGGTAAGGGTCACCACTAGTGTCCCTGCTGACTTCACCTGCGAGAAGTGCACCCAACTCCAGCTCCTCACAGACCCCGTTAGGGAACTGAAGCTGGAGTTGGATGAACTCCAGATCATTCGCGAGGCTGAGGGGGTGCTAGAGAGGAGTTACAGGAAGATACTCACACCTAAGTTACAGGATAAAGGTAGCTGGGTGACTGTCAGGAGAGGGAAAGGGAATAGGCAGACAGTGCAGGGATCCCCTATGGCCGTTCCCCCCAATAATAAGTATATCACTTTGGATACTGTTGTGGGGGACGACCTACCAGGGGAAAGCCATAGCGGCCAGGTCTCTGGCACTGAGCCTGGCTCTGTGGCTCAGAAGGGAAGGGGGAGAATAGGAGAGCAATAGTGATAGGAGATTCAACGGTTAGGGGAACAGACAGGAGATTCTGCGTTGCAAACGAGACTCCCAGATGGTATGTTGCCTCCCAGGTGCCAGGGCCAGGGATGTCTCGAACCGAGTCTATAGGATTCTTAAGGGGGGAGGGTGAGCAGCCAGAAGTTGTGGTACACATCGGTACCAATGACATAACTAGGAAAAGGGATGAGGACCTGAAAAGTGAATATAGGGAGTTAGGTTGGAAGCTAAAAGGCAAGACAAGCAGAGTAGTAATCTCAGGATTACTACCGATGCCATGGGCTAGTGAGGCTAGGAATAGAGAGCGAGTGCAGCTGAACACGTGGCTACAGAGCTGGTATAGGAGGGAGGACTTCAGATATGTGAATCATTGGGTTACCTTCTGGGGTAGGTGGGACCTGTGCAAGAAGGATGGGTGCACCTGAACTGGAGGGGCACCAATATCCTGAATGGGAGGTTTGCTCGAGCTGTTCAGGAGGGTTTAAACCAGTTTGTCAGGGGGATGCTATGGATCAGAGGATGGGGTAGCTGGTGTCCAGGCAGATACAGCATGCAGAGAGTCTGTGAGGAAGGATAGACAGTTGATAAGGCAAAGTTGCAGTCAGTGTGACAGGTTGAAGTGTGTCTATTTTGACGCAAGAAGTGTCAGGAATAAGGGTGATGCACTTAGAGCATGGATCAGTACTTGGAGCTACGATGTTGTGGCCATCACGGAGACTTGAATATCACAGGGGCAGGAATGGTTTGTTGGATGTTCCAGGGCTTAGAAGTTTCAAAAGAAATAGGGAGGGAGGTAAAAGAGTTGGGGGAGTGGCATTGCTAATCAGGGATAGTATCACAGCTGCAGAAAGGGAGGTCGTGCAGGAGGGTTTCTTTACTGAGTCAGTACAGGTGGAAGTCAGAAACAGGAAAGGAGCAGTCACTTTATTGGGAGTTTTCTGTAGACACCCCAGGAGCAACAGAGACACTGAGGAACAGGTTGGGAGGCAGATTTTGGAAAGGTGCAGAAGTAATAGGGTTGTTGTCATGAGTACTTCAACTTCCCTAATATCGACTGGAACCTCCTAAGTGCAAATAGTTTGGATGGAGCAGATTTTGTCAGGTGTGTCCAGGAAGGATTTCTTGGGTCATCAAACAGGCTGATGTTAGGAAGGGGGATACGCTAGAAATTTTGAAAAACATGAGGATAGGTAAGTCCCCTACGCCAGACAGGATATACCTATGGTTAGTATGGGAAGTGAGGGAAGAGATTGCAGCACCTTTGGCGATGATCTTTGCTTCCTCATTGTCCACTGGAGTAGTACCAGATGACCGGAGGGTGGCAAATGTTATTCCCTTGTTCAAGAAAGGGAATAGGGATAACCCTGGGAATTACAGACCAGTCAGTCTTACTGCTGTACTGGGCAAATTATAGGAAAGGATTCTAAGAGATAGTATTTATGTTTATTTGGAAAAGCATAGTTTGATTAGAGATAGTCAGTGTGGCTTTGTGAGGGGCAGGTCATGCCTCACAAGCCTGATTGAATTATTTGAGGATGTGACAAAACACATTGATGAAGGTAGAGCAGTGGATGTGGTGTATATGGATTTTAGCAAGGCATTCGATAAGGTTCCCCATAGTAGGCTCATTCAGAAAGTAAGGAGGCATGGGATTCAGGGAAATTTGTCTGTCTGGATACAGAATTAGCTGTCCAATAGAAGACAGAGGGTGGTAGTAGATAGAAAGTATTCAGCCTGGAGCTCGGTTACCAGTGGCATTCTGCAGGGATCTGGGACCTCTGCTCTTTGTGATTTTCAGAAATGACTTGGATGAGGAAGTGGAAGAGTGGGTTAGTAAGTTTGCCAATGACACGAAGGTTGGTGGAATTGTGGATAGTATGGAGGGCTGTTGTAGGTTGCAACGGGACATTGACAGATTGCAGAGCTGGGTAAAGAAGTGGCAGATGGAATTCAACCCGGAAAAGTGTGATGTGATTCATTTTGGAAGGTCGAATTTGAGTGCAGAATACAGGGTTAATGGCAGGATTCTTGGCAGTGTGGAGGAACAGAGGGATCTTGGAGTCCACATCCACAGATCCCTCAAAGTTGCCACCCAAGTTGATAGGGTTGTTAAGAAGGAGTATGGTGTGTTGGCTTCCATTAGCAGGGGGATTGAATTTAAGAGCCGTGAGGTTATGCTGCAGCTCTATAAAACTCTGGTTAGACCACACTTGGAATAATGTGTTCAGTTCTGGCCGCCTCATTATTGGAACGATGTGGAAGCTTTAGAAAGGGTGCAGAGAAGATTTACCAGGATGCTGCCTAGACTGGAGGGCAGGTCTTATGAGGAAAGGTTGAGGGAGCTAGGGCTTTTCTCATTGGAGCGAAGAAGGACGAGAGGTGACTTGATAGAGCTGTACAAGATGATGAGAGGCATAGATAGAGTGGATAGCCAGAGACTTTTTCTCAGAACGGAAATGGCTATCACGAGGGGGTATAATTTTAAGATGATTGGAGGAAGGTATAGGGGAGATGTCAGAGGTAGGTTCATTACACAGAGAGTGGTGGGTGCATGGAATGCACTGCCAGCAGTGGTAGTAGAGTCAGATACATTAGGGACATTTAAGCAACTCTTGGATAGGCACACGGATGATAGTAAAATGAACGGTATGCAGGTTAATTTGATCTTAGAGTAGGATAATAGGTCAGCACAACATCATGGGCCGAATGGCCTGTACTGTACTGTACTGTTCTATGTTCTAGAACTGTGAATCATCTTTACTTGGATAAGTGTGCCTTATGGGCATAAGTTGATCAATCGAGTCAAGATTAATGACACGGTAACTGATCCCAACCCAGGGTTGTGACCCTATTTGAGCTTACCCCATAATGCAAAGACCCTGCTTACAATCTCTGGTGCTGTGATAGATATTTGATTCTACGTAGTCTTAACATGCATTGAAATAAATTATACAATAGTTTTCTATAAAATCCTCATATTTATAAACTATTTCAAATTACCTCTCTGAAGTGGCTGCAGAAGCAATAGGATTATTTTGGCGATGTTATTTCCAACAGACTCCTCTATCTGTTCAAGTAAACCCACTAGAAGCTCCTTTGGGTTACTTATCTATAAGGAAAACACATCAGATTGTGAAGAAATTCATCTCAATTTCAGATAAGTTAATACAATTTCAGAATAAAATTTAAAAGTTTGAGGCTTTTTTTTAATAATATAAACTGTTAATGTCATATCTGTTGTATTTGTCAAATGCTCCTTGTTTGGCTTTATTCAATCATGCTTTGAGGTAGCTGCTCAATAGAATTTTCATCCTACAATGTCCCTGTCACTGCATTAACTGTACACTGCGGTTAGACAGAGCTTCATAACCTCCAACTCCTGCCACTTAATCAGTAATGCATTCTGATGGAAATCCAATTTGACCTGACTTTCTGGGAAAGCCACGGACCTCCTCAAAAATTTAAAAATCTTGACAAAACAAAGTTTCCTATAAAATGAACATACAAGCAGTCGAATTAGGAACACGTATAGGCCATTTGACCACAAAGATCTCCTGACTGTGGTCTCAATCTACTCACCTAACCGCCCCTAATGTTTGATTCCTTTTTCCTTTATTCATCGAGAATCTAAATCTAACTCAGCCTTAAAAATATTCAATAAGCCTGTCTTCACTGAGCCCAGGGAAGAGAACGCCACAAATTCATGACCCTCAAAAAAATGCCATTTTCATTTATATAGCATCTTTCACAATTCAGGACAGCCCAAACTGCTTCAAACCCAATGAAGTATAGTCACTCTTATCGAGTGGGAAATGTGGCAGCTAATTTTGTGCATAGCAATCTCGCACAAACAAGCAACATGACAGTGGCCAGATTCTCTGCATAAGCGATGTTGCTTGAAAGATTAAAAACTGATCAGGACCTTGGGTAAAATTCTACTGTTCTTGTTTAAATTAGTGCCTTACTGTCTTTTTACATTCAACCGAATGGGGGCTTGAACCCACAGGTTTCTCACTCAGAAGCAAGAGTGCTACAACTGAGTCAGGGTTTTAAAATGTTATTTCAGCTAACCTAGAAACTTAAGAATGAAGCTTGTTCCACAAGCTCTACTCCAATCATTTACCTCAAATCGAGGTTTACTTCAACCGATTATTGAAGGACTAGTGCACTGTCAGGTGATCATTTTTGTTGATTTGACATTAAGTCTTAGAGCAGTTGAGATGGTAGTTACGGCATTGGCATGCTCCTCCTGCAGAATGCTGGTGCTCAGGAAGACTTCCATCGTCCCTAATGACTACACCGGTGGGAAGTGCCCCCAGCTGCAGCTCCTGGGAGATCGTGTTAAGGAGCTGGAGTTGGATGCACTCAGGAGTATCCAAGATGCTGAGTGCATTTCTGAAGAAGGGTCTAGGCCCGAAACGTCAGCTTTCTTGCTCCTCTGATGCTGCTTAGCCTGCTGTGTTCATCCAGCTCTACACTTTGTTATCTCAGATTCTCCAGCATCTGCAGTTCCTACTATACTGGATACTGTTGTCGGGGAGGATGACTGATCAGGGAAAGCAACAGTAGCCAGGTTGGTGGTACTGTGACTGGCTCTGGGGCATAGCGGGAAAGGGTAAAGCTAAACAGGACATAAGTGACAGGAGATTTGACAATTAGGGGGACTGAAAGAAGATTCTGTGGACGCAAACCGGAATCCAGGATGGTGTGTTGCTTCCCGGGTGCCAGGGTCCAGGATGTCTCAGAGCAGCTGCAGAACATTCTCGGGGAGGTGGGGTAGGTGAGCAGCCAGAAGTCATTGTACACATTGGCACGAATGACAAAGGTAGAAACAGGAACAAGGTCCTGCGAAGTGTTTATAAAGAGCTAGGAAAAACGTTAAAAACTAGGACTTTGACAGTGGTAATCTCCGGATTACTTCCAGTGGCACATGCTAGTGGCGGTAAGAACAGGAGGATATGGCAGATGAATGAATGGCTAAAGAATTGGTGCAGGGGGCAAGGATTCAGATTCCCAGATCGTTGGGATCTTTTCTGGGGCCGAGGTGACTTGTTCGGGAGAGGCGTTTTGCACCTGAACTGGAGGGGGACGAATATCCTGGGAGGCAGATTTGCTAGTGCTGCAAGGGAGGATTTAAACTAGATTGGCAGTGGGGTGGGATCCTCAAGTGCAGGGAGGCAAGTGTGAGGCTGGAAGGAGATACAGTAATCAGAAATAGCAGGTTGAAGAGACAGGTCAAGCTGGAACATGACAGGGAGCAAGGAATGCCCGTGGGATTAAACTGCATCTATTTCAATGCAAAAGGGCTGACAGGTAAGGCCGATGAACTCAGGGAGTGGATAGGTATGTGGGACTCTGATATTATAGCCATCACAGAAACATGGCTAAGGGAGGGGCAGGACTGGCAGCTTAATGTGCCAGGCTACAGATGCTTTAGATGGGATACAGGCAGAGGAAAGAGTGGAGGGGGGTTGCATTTTTGATTGGGGGGGTATCACAGCTGTAGTCAGAGATGAAATAACTGAGGGATCATCCAGTGAGGCTTTGTGGGTGGAGCTAAGAAATAAGAAGGGGATGGTGACGCTGTTGGGGTTGTACTATAGGCCCCCAAATGGTCAACAGGAATTAGAGAAACATGCAGGGAGATTAGGGAGACTGCAGAAGCAATAGGGTTGTCATAGTGGGGGATTTAAATTTTCCTAACATAGACTGGGATTGCCAAAGTGTTAAGGGCTTAGATGGGGTGGAATATGTTAAATATGTTCAGGAAAGTTTCCTCAAGCAGTATATAGAGGGTCCTACTTGGGAAGGGGCAAAACTCAATCTACACTTGGGAAATAGGGCAGGACAGGTGACTGAGGTGACAGTAGGGGAGCACTTTGGGACCAGTGAACATAGTTCTATTAATTTTGAAATAGTTATGGAGAAGGACAAAACTTGTCTACTGGTTCAAGTTCTAAACTGGGGCAAGGCAAATTTTGATGGAATTAGACAGGAGCTTGCAGGGGTTGATTGGAGTAGTTTGTTTGCAGGCAAAGGGACCTCTGGAAAGTGGGCAGCTTTTAAAAATGTGATAGCTAGAGTTCAAGTTCTTTAGTTCCCGTGAGGGTGAAGGGCAAGGTTGGTAGGAGTAGGGAACCCTGGATGATAAGAGATATTGAGGCTTTGACCAGAAAAAAGGAGGCACGACTCAGGAACAGGCAGCTAGGATCAAGGGAATTCCTGGAAATTTATAAGGGATGTAGGAATTTACTGAAGGAGGAAATCAAGAGAGCGAAAAGGCGGCATGAGATAGCTTTGGCTGAGAAGATCAGGGTAAATCCAAAGAGATTCTTTAAGTATGTTAAAGGAAAAAGAATGACCAGCGAGAGAATCAGAACCTTCAAGGACCAAAGTGGACATGTAACTGCAGGAGATGGGCGGAGTCTTGAATGAATATTTCTCCTCTGTGTTTACAGTGGAGAAAGACATGAAGACTTGGGAACTGGGGGAAGTTTGTGGCAATATCATAGTAGAGGAGGAAGTATTAGGACGTATGAAGGTGGATAATTCTCCTGGTCCTGACCAGATATATCCAAGACCCCTGCAAGAGGCTAGAGAAGAAATTGCAGGAACATATTTACTCATCGTTAGGCAAAGGTGAGATCCCGGAAGACTGGTAGGTAGCGAATGTTGTGCCCTTATTCAAGAAGGGCTGCAGAGAAAAACCTGGGAATTATAGATCAGTGAGCTTAACACCTGTGGTAGGTATGTTACTTGAGAAAATTCTGAGAGATAAGATACACATGCATTTGGAAAAACAGCGTTTGATTAGGAGTAGTCAGCGTGGCTTCTTGTTTGGGAGATCATGCCTCACAAATTTGTTAGAGTTCGTTGATGAAGTGCCCAGGAAAGTTGATGAGGGCAGGGCAGTAGACGTAGTTTATGTAGATTTCATTAAAGCTTTTCATAAGTTTTCACATGGTAGGCTGCTCTGGAAGGTTAGATCGCACAGAATCCATGAAGAATTGGCAAACTGAATTCACAATTGGCTTGATGTTAGCAGAGAGTAACAGTGGAAGGATGCTTGTTGCACTGGAGCCCTGCGACTAGTGGTCTGCCTCAGGGGTCAGTGCTGGGCCTATTGCTGTTTGTTATCTATATCAATGACTTGGATGAGAATGTATAAGGCATGATTAGTAACTTTCTGAATGACACTAAAACAGGCAGTATCCTGGACAGTGAGGAATTTTATCAGAAATTGCAGCGGGATCTTGATCAACTGGGGAAGTGGGCCAAGAAATGACAAATAGAGTTCAATATAGAGAAGTGTCAGGTGTTACATTTTAGAAAGTCAAATCAAGGAAGGAGTTTCATGGTGAATGGTAGGGCCTTAAGGACTGTAGTGGAACAGACTGACCTTGGAGTTCAGGTGTACGGTTCTCTGAAAATGGAGTCGTAGGTAGACAGGGAAGTAAAGAAGGCTTTTGGCACACTGGCCTTCACTAGTCAAGGCACTGAGTATAGAAGTTGGGAAATTATGATGCAGTTATACAGGATGTTGGTGAGGATGCACTTGGAGTATTGTGTTCAGTTTTGGTCACCTAGCTATAGGAAGGATGTTATTAACAGGAAAGAGTGCAGATGAAATTTACAAGGATGTTGCCAGGACTCAAGGGACTCAGTTATAGGGACAGGTTGGACAAGCCAGGGCTTTTTTCTTTACAGCATAGGAGACTGAGGGGGGAATCTTATAGAAGTGTATAAGATCATGAGAGGCACGGATAGGCTGAATGCGCTCAGTCTTTTTTCTCAGGGTTGGGGAATTGAGGACTAGACGGCATCAGTTTAATGGTAAGAAGGGAAAGAATACATGGGGACCTGAGGGGCAACTTTTTCTTTTACACAGAGGGTAGTATGCATATGGAATGAGCCGCCAGCTGAAGTGGTGAGGAGGGTACATTAGCGACATTTCAAAGGCATTCGGATGAATAGATGGATAGGAAAGATTTAGAAGGATATGGGCCAAGTGCAGGGAAATGGGGTTAGCACGGATGGACATTTTCGTCAGCAGGGACCAGTTTGGGCCAAAGGGCCTGTCTCCATGCTGTAGGACTCTATGACTCTCTAAGTCTATATTCCCTTCACTTATTCCATGTGAAAGATCTCTTGGCACCTTTTGTAGAAGGGTTAAATAATCCCAGTGTCTGAGTTAACAATTTTCTCTTGATCAGCAATAGACCACAAGATATAGGAGCGAATTGGGCCATTTGGCCTATCAAGTCTGTTCCGTCATTTGATCATGGCTGACATTTTTCTCAACCTCATTCTCCTACCTTCTCCTTGCAACTCTTGATCCGTCTACTAATCAAGAACCTATCTTAAACACACTCAACAATTTGGCCTCCAAAGTCTTCTGCAGCAATGAGTTTGACAGATTAACTACTCTCTGGCTGATGAAATTCCTTGTCATTTCAGTTTTGAGTTCTAAAGCTTCATGCCTTCACTCTGAGGCTGTGCCCTACGGTTCTAGTCTCTCCTACTTGTTGAAATATCTTCTCCACGTCCACTCTGTCCAGGCTCACAAGTCCATAAATGAGATGCCCCTCATCCTTCTAAACTCCATAGACTGCAGATCCAGAGTCCTCAACTGCTGTTCATATGACAAACCCTTCATCTTCAGGATCATTCTTGTAAACCTTCTATGGAGCCCCTCCAATGCCAGCAGCACATCCTTCTTAAGATATGGGGCTCAAAACTGCTCACAATATTCCAAATACAGCCTCAGCTGTACATTTCTCTTTTTGTGTTCTTGCCCTCTTGAAATGAAAGGCAACATTGCATTTGCCTTCTTAACTGCCAACTGAATCTGCACATTAGCCGTAAGAGAACCCTGAACGAACACTCTAAGTCCCTTTGTCATAGTGTCATACAGCATGGAAATAGACGCTTCGGTTCAACTCATCCACGGCAACCAAACTAAACTAGTCCCACTTGCCTGCATTTGGCCCATATCCCTCTAAACCTTTTCTATTCATGTACCTGTCCAAAAGTTTTTAAAATGTTGCAACTGTAACTGCATCTACCACTTCTGCTGACAGTTCATTCCACATACGAACAACCCTGTGCGAAAAAGTTGCCCCTCAGATCCCTTTTTAATCTTTCTCCTCTAACCTTATAAATATGCCACCTAGTTTTGAACTCCCCCATCATAAGGAAAAAACCTTTGCTATTTGCTTTATCTATGCCCCTCATGATTTATAAATCTCTATAAGGTCACCCTTCAACCTCCTACGCTCCAGTGAAAACCGTCCCAGCCCATCAAGCCTCTCCTTATAACTCAAAGCCTCCAGTTCCGATAACATCATTGTAAATCTCTTCTGAACCCTCTCCAATTTAATAGTATCCTTCCTATAGCAGGGCATTCAGAACAGTACACAGCACTCCAAAAGTATCCTGCACAACCTCAACATGATATCCCAACTCCTATACTTAATGGTCTGAGCAATGAAGGCAAGCGTGCTAAGCACCTTCTTAACCACCCTGACTCCTGTGACTCATCAAAGTTTGTGCTTCAGAGGTCTGAATTTCCCTGTTTAGAAAATAGTCTATGCCTCCAATCTTCCTACCAAAGTGCATGACCTCACATTTTCCCACATTGTATTCCATCTGCCACTTCTTTGCCTACTCTCCTAACCTGTCCAAGTCCTTCTGCAGCCTCCCCGCTTACTCAACACTACCTGTGTCTCCACCTGTCTTTGTGTCATCTGCAAACTTAGCAACAATGCTCAGTTCCTCCATCCAGATTGTTAATGTATAACACGAATAGTTATGATCTCACTACTGACCCGTGTGGAAATCCATTAATCACCAACTGCAATCCTGAAAAAGACCCATTTATCCCACTCTGTCTTCTTCCAGTCAGCCAATCCTCTATCCATGCCAGTACCCTGCCTCTAACACCATGGGCTCTTACCTTATTTAGCACCCTCCTGTGTGATACCTTGTCAAAGGCTTCTGAAAATCCAAATAGATTACTTCAACTGGCTCTCCTTTGTTTAACTTGCTCGTTACCTCCTCAAAGAATTATAACTAATTTGTCAGGCATCACCTCCCCTTGACGAAGCCATGCTGACTCAGCCCTCTTTTATGACGCCCTTCCTCACCTTTAATGATGGACTCTAAAATCTTACCAATGACCGAGGTCGAGCTAACCAGCCTATAGTTTCCAGTATTCTGCCTCCGTCCCTTCTTAAACATGGGTGTTACATTAGCCATTTTCCAGTCCTCTGACACCCTCCCTGACTTCAGCGATTACTGAAAGATCACCACCAATGCCTATACAATCTCCTCAGCCATCTCCTTCAGAACTCTGGGGTGCAGTCCATTTGGTCCAGGTCACTTACCCATCTTAAGACCTTTCAGCTTCCCCAATACTTTCTCCTTACATTTCTCACTACACTTACATCTACCCCCTGACTCTCTTGAGGTTTTGGTATGTTACTAGGATTTTCCACAGTGAAAATTGATGCAAAGTACCCATTCAGTTTCTCCACCATTTCTTTGTTCCCCATTACTACTTCTCTAGCCTCATTTTCCAGTAGTCCAATGTCCACTTTTACTTCTTAGATATCTAAACAAACTCTTGCAATCTTCTTTTATATTACTAGCTAGCTTACCCTCATATTTCATCTTCTCCCCCCTCTTGCTTTTTTTAGTTATCCTCTGCTGATTTCTAAAAGTTTCCCAATCTTCCGGATTCCCACTGATCTTCACTACACTGCATGCTTCCAAGACAGTGTAAATAGTTGTTCACTCACTTATTGTTAATCTTGAATCCTGTATTGTGCAAATTGGTTAGCACCTGTGTCTACATAATAACTAACTGCACTTCAAAATATTTAATTGATTGTAAAGGGCTTCAGATATCTTAATGTGGAAGGTATTTGTTCTTAAAATACGTAACAAATACAAGAAGCTTTGCAGTCTGATATATGGATATTTCCCTAGTACACTCACTTACCTGTACTACATGGTTGAGTATTTTCAAGCAGTTTTCCTTGTGCTCAGTTTCTTGCTGGTCTTTCAAAGCACAACTGACAATAGGACCAACAACATTCCAGCCCATGCAGATAACAAAGTCCTGTAAGATGTTAAATGAGGGCAAGGTAAAAAAAAGAAGATAAAATGGTAGATCAAATTGGTCCAACAGTTAGAGATATCGATTTCTTCACAAAACGTTTGCTAATAAGGGTGAAGTTTGTCCTGGTATGGAGCAGTTGCGACAACATCAGCACAATGGCTAATTGGATCTTTTAAAAAATATAATGGCTATAACCTACAGCCATACTAGTCTGAAAACGCCCGATCTCATCTTATCTTGGAAGCTAAGCAGACTCAGGCCTGGTTAGTTCTTGGATAGGAGACCACCTGGGAATACCAAGTGCTTTAGGGTTTTGGAGCAGCATGGTGGCTTAGTGGTTAGCACTGCTGCTTCACAGTGCCAGGAACCCTGGGTTCAATTCCACCCTCAGGCAACTGTCTGTGTGGGGTTTGCACATTCTCCCTGTATCTGTATGGGTTTCCTCAAGGTAATAGCAACCACAACATGATTTAACTTTACATTATAATTTTAATTATAATCCCTCTATTCAAGACAGGAGGGAAGCACAGAACAGCAAACCATAGGCCTGTTAGCCTGAAATCTGTCACAGGAGAGATGTTATAATCAATCATGAATGAGTTTACACCTACACACTTTGAAAATCTCAAAGTAATCAGGAAGGATCAGCATAGTTTCATCAAAGTAAAATCAAGCTTAACCAATGTGTTGGACCTCTTTGAAGCTGTAACATGCGCTTTGGATAAAGGAAAGCCATACATGTTCAATACTTGGATTTCCAGAAGGCATTTGATAAGATGCCACAAGTGCAGAAAATAAAAGCTTATGGTGTAGGGGGTAGCATATGAACATGGATAAAAGATTGGGTGGCTGGCAGAAAACAGACAGTATATATAAAATGGGTCTTTTTCTGATTGGTAGGGTGTGACATGTCAAGTTCCACAGTAACTTTTTACAATTTAGATCAATGACTTAGATGGGAGAGTGAAGGCACAGCAGCTAAATTCACAGATGACACCAAAATGAAGAAGAAAATATGTTGTGGGGGAGACATAAGGAGGTTGCAGACAGATATGAAAATGTTGAGATAATGGGCAAAAATCTAGTGTATGGAAGTATAATGTAGAAAATGAAAAGTTGTTTGGCAAGAAAAAGGAGAATATTACTTAAATAATCTTCAGCTGGAAGTGCCAAGTGGGTGATCCATCTTGCCCTCCTCTAGAAGTCACCAGCAACACAGATGCCAATCTTCAGGCAGTTTGAATCACTGCATCTGATATGAAAAAAGAGTCGGAGACACTGGAAACTACAAAGGCTATGGGCCCTGACAATATCTCTGCTACAGTGTCAAAGGCTTGTGCTCCAGAACTTGCCACTCCCCTATCCAAGCAGTTCCGGAACAGCCATGACAAAATTGCCCGGTTATGTCCTATACACAAAATGCAAGACAAATCCAACCCAGCCAATTACCACCCCAGTCTAGTCTCAATCATCAATAAAGTGATGGAAGGTATCATCAACAGGGCTATCAAGTATCACTTACTTAGCAAATATCTGCTCACTAATTGCTCTGTTTGGATTCCACCAGGGCCACTGAGCTCCTTGACTTTGTTGCAGTCTTGGTCCAAACATGGACAAAAGCAATGAATTCCAGAAGTGAAAGTAACTGCCCTTGACATTAAGGCTGCATTTAACCAAGCATGGCATCAAGGAGCTCTAGCAAAACTGGAGTCAATGGGAATCGGGGGGAAAACTTCCTGCTGGTTGGATTCAAACCTATCACAAAAGAAAATGGTTATGGTGGGTGGAGGTCAGTCATCTCAGCTCCAGGACATCTCTTCAGAAGTTCCTTAGGGTAGTGTCCATCCTAGCTGAATTGATGACTTTCCTTCCATCACAAGGTCAGAAGTGGGGATGTTCGCTGATGATTGCACAACATTCAGCAACATCTGCGATTCCTCCAGTACTAAAACTATCCATGCACAAATGCAAGAAGATTTGGACAATGTCTAGGCTTGGGCTGACAAATGGCAAGTAACATTCACACCACATAAATACCAAAAATGAATTTGAGATTCAACGGGATCACCATCACTGAATCCCCCACTATCAACATCCTAGGGGTTACCATTGACCAGAAAATGCAATGGACTAGCATATATGTATTATGGCCACTGGAGCAGGTCAGGAAATAGGAATCTTGCAGTGAGTAATTCACATCTTGACTCCCCAAAGTCTGTCCACCATCTACAAGGCCCAAGTCAGGAGTGTGATGGAATACTCCCCACTTACCTGGATGAGTGCAGCTTCAACAACACTCAAGAAGTGTGACACCATTCAGAATCAAAGCAACCTGCTTGATTGGCACCACACCCACAAACATTCAGTCCATCACAGATACTCAGTAGCAGCAGTGTTCATCATCTATAAGATGCACTGCTGAAATTCACCAGGCTTCTAAGACAGAAACTTCTGAACTCATGACCACTTCCATCAAGAAGAACAAGGACAGCAGATACATGGGAACATCACCACCTGCAAGTTCCCCTCCAAAGCGCTCAGAATCCAAACTTGGAAATATATCACCGTTCCTTCAGTGTAGCCGGATCAAAATCCTGGAACACCCTTCCTAGTGGTATTGTGGGTTTACTTTCACCAAATGGACTGCAGCACTTCAAGAAGGCAGATCACCGTTACCTTTAAGGGACGGGCAATAAATGCTGGCTCAGCCAATGACACCCACATCCCATGAGTGAATTAAACAAAAACATGGATTTAGGTATTCTAGTACATAAGTCACAAAAGGTTAATATGTAATCAAGAAGGTTAATAGGATGCTACCCTCTATCGCAAAAGGAAATTAACATAAAAGTAAGGATGTCATGTTTCAGTCAGACAGGGCATTGTCTGGCCACATCTTAAATATTGTGCAGTTTTGGTCTCCTTATAACGGAAAGGAAGAAATACTTTGGAGACAGTTCAGGGGAGGTTTACTAGATTGACACATGGAACGAATGGGTTGACTTATGCGGAAAGGTTAGACAGGCTAAGGCTTCTTTCCAAGAACTTGGAAGAGCAAGGGGTAACTTGACCGAAGTGCATAAAAGTTTTATTGATCTTCACAAGGTATTAGATGTTTGGATCAGTCCGGAAATAGGGGGCACTGTTTTAAAATTAGGGGTCAACACTTTGAGAACAGAGATGATGAGAGTGTTTTTCTCTCAGAGGGTTGACAGACATTAGAACTCAGCCTCAAAAAAGAGTGGGCGCAGATCACTGAATATTTTTAGGACTAAGATGGATAGATTCTTGTTAGGATAGATGGGAATATGGAATTTAAAACACAAACAGGTGTTATTAATTCGCAGAGCAGACTCAAGGGGTCAAATTGTCTACTTCTGTTCCTATTTTGTTTTTCATAAGTATGATTAAAAGTTGTATGCTTCATTTTCAACTCAAAATCACATGGTTGTGCATGCGGGTCACATTCAATGTCTTCTTAAATACATTCTTAGCTGTAATTTCAGTGTAGTTGTGAAGAATTTTTACATTGTTGGTGGTATTGCTTTGTAGAGAAGTTAAATTGAGCAATATCATTAAAATACAAATTAACTCCACAGTTATCTACTGCTATTTAAAAGGACCCCTCCATGAAGAGACTGCTGTACTTCAATATTTAATCCCAAAATAAAACGATCTATAATACGCAATAGAAGAACTGTGTCATAATGACACATTTTGATATCCTTAATTGTTTGCTGCTTCTGAAATATTGATACTGCGTGAGAATACTTGATATAGAAGTCCAAAGCTTCAAAGCAAGATGTTTGTCCACGTTGCTCACCCAGTTACTTTTTGACAGATGTGAGATAAATGAATAGTATATTTATAAAGACAGATTAGACATGTTAAAAAATAATAATAGAACCTTGTTTTTCTCATCTTGCAGAATTTCCAAAAGTCTAGTTGCGTGCCCTTCTTCCAGGCATTGGCAGGCTGCTGACTGAAAAACGCTGTGATCTTCTTCTTTAAATTCTGTTTCAGGTAGGCCACGCTAAAACGAGCAAAATAACATTTTCATTCCACATAAAGTGCAAAGCAACTTCAGACAATTTTAACTGATACCACCTAAAGTAAAACATCTGCATACAACATTATGATGGTCAACTACACTCAAAGAATATAAATGTTATCAGACGAAAAGATAGAGAGGACTATTAATCCAGAGAGCCGGGTAATGTTCTGGGGACGTGGGTTCGAATCCTGCCATGGCAGATGGTGGAATTCGAATTCAATAAAAATCTGGAATTAAGAGTCTAATGACCCCATGAAACTATTGTCAATTGTTAGAAAAACCCATCTGGTTCACTAATGTCCTTTAGGAAAGAAAATTTCCATTCTTACTTGGTCTGAACTACATGTCACTCCAGACTCACAGCAACGTGGTTGACGCGTAACTGCTCTCTGGGATGGGCAGTAAATGCTGGCCTAGCCAGTGATGGCCTTATCCCATGAATGAATTAAAAAAAGGAGCAGAATAGGAATTTTGTCATGGCTGGTACGTTTCTCAACCCCGTTCTCCTACCTTCTCCTTGCAACCTATGATCCCCTTACCGATTAAGGACCTATCAATGACTTGGCCTCCACAGCCTTCTGTTGCAATGAGTTCCACAGATTCACCACTCACTGGCTGAAGAAATTTCTCCTCATCTCAGTTTTAAAGAATTGTCCCTTCACTCTGAGACTGTGCCTTCAGGTCCTAAACTCTTCTACTAGTGGAAACATTTTCTCCATATCCATCCTATTAAAGCCTCTAAGTTTTCGTATGTTTTAACAAGAGCCCCTCATCCTTCTAAACTCCATCGAGTACAGTCCCAGAGTCCTCAACCGCTCCTCATATGATAAGTTCATCAACCTGGAATCATTCTTGTAAACATCCTCTGGACTGTCTCCAACATCAGCACATCCTTCCTTAGAATACAGGGCCAATACAGGGCCCAAAACTGCTGATATTGTTATTCATTACTGGTCTACATTTCATTCGTAGAAACTAGGTTTGAAGCCAGTAACAATAATATCAAAATAATTAGATTTCCTTCATGCTTCCTGCTGTAGTCAGTGACTATAATAGATCAGCTTCTTTTACCTGAAAAAAAAATCCTGTAGTTCAGTTTCAAAAGTTAGACCTTTCATTAGTTACATTTGCAAATATTAATATTTCATAACGAGATGAAATACTAATTCACAGGCAAAATTAAATCATGCTTTTGTCATTTGTCTATTTGACAAACAGCTGATTTTTCTGCAGTCTGATTTTGAAACAACGGGGTAAATTCCTAGAAAACAAAGACAGACCTTCTAATTGGCTCCCTTTGGTGTACACCCATTCCCATGGCCACCTACGTCTGCTCCCAGGATCAGCGAGCCCAACTTCAACCCTCAGTCGCATCTCCTGAATCAAAAGTTTTTGTTACTTTTTTAATCTAAGGTTATTCTGGCAAGTTGGGAAATTTCCTGGTTCAAAATTTGGTCCCAAGTGTCTGCTAAGATGGAATGTCTACGTTTATTGCTGTATAAATATAGTACTTGAAGGGTCTGAGGTCCAGCTGGAAAATGTTTCAAATTTGGCAACATTTAGGATTGTTAAACAAAAAAATGTTATGGATTAGTACTTGCAGAATTGCTGTATCATCATCTCTAAAATGTAACTGTCCCTTGTACCAAATATGAATCATAACATAATGAAAGGATCATAAAAACTGCCAGTACTTACACATCGCTCAATTACTCCTTCCAGTTTTTCTAAAGCCATTTGCAACCACGTTCCACTAACACTTAGAACTGGAGGATAAAAGAAAAACACAGGCATTAAGTTTGAAGAAGGCAAGCACACGGAAACTACTTCGCAACTGCATTATCCCTGACTATTTTGTAATTATTTTAAGAGTTATTCCTCCAATGGTTCAGTTAATAAATCAACTACACATTTTGGAATTGAGCCACTGACCATGAATGACTCAGAAATTCAAAATAATCTACATTAATTCATTTTTGATTTCGATAATAGTCTGGGCATAAGCTAACTGACACCTGAACTGGGATGTATGAAAACTCAGGGTTCCCACTTCACATTTACATCAGTTTTAATTTCACACCCCAGTGAAAAGGGTCCCTGATTTACAAATGCCCGCCTTATCCCATACAGAAGTATAATTTTAAAGATCCGCAATATAAGCTTTTTCTCACACTTAAGAGTGGCTGTTTTATATTACCCTGCATTATATTCCAATTTGTGCACAAATCAACTTGCAAACATTCATAAACAGAACCCATTTGCAACACGGGAACTGTCTGTATATGTAAAAAGGTACAAGTGAGAAGTGTGATAGAATACTTCCCACTTGCAGCTAATTGTAGCTCAAATAACACTCAACATGCTCAACAACGTCCAGGACAAAGCAGCCTGTTTGAGTGGCATCACATCCACAGTCACTCCCTCCACCACCAACATTCATTAGCAGCAGTGTGCACCATCTATAGGATACACCAAAAAAATTCACCAAGACTCCTTAGACGGCACTTCCAAACCCATGGCCATTACCATGTAGAAGGACAAGGGAAGCTGATGTGTGGGACCAGTGCCTCTCACCAATTCCTCTCAAAGCTACTCACCATTCAAACTTGGAAATATGTCACTGTTCCTTCGGTGTCTCTGAGTCAAAATGCTGGAACTTCCTCCCTAACAGTATTGTGGGTGCATCTACAGTAAGTGGACTGCAGCAGTTCAAAAAGGCTGCTCACCATCAACTTTTCAACTGGGGTTAGGCAATAAATGTGGCCCAGCCAATGGTGAAACAACCCTTTCTTTCTTTCCCATTGCTACCCCAGGTTTTGGTGGGAAAATTAGTCAACAGTAATGACACTGCTATTGACAAGCAGAGGGGATTAGATTCTCTTGTTGGGGAGTCATTACCCTGCACTCATGTGACCTACATGTCACTTGCCATGTATGCACGTGGAATTAGGTGAGCATAGAGGTATAAGTAGCTGCAACATCATCACAACTCTCAGATGGTTAATGACCACAAATTTGAGGGCATTGAGTTAATTCCAGGAAATGCTCAATGTCTTTAGAAAAGCTGAGGCAGGTATTGTTTTCTTTTTGACAATTTCCCAGCCAGTCACGCAAAAAATTTTCTATTCTCAAAATAAAAAGACTCGAGGATGGCTTGCATGTAATACATCAGCATTCCTATCAAAGGATGGATACTAAAAACTTGGGCTTTGCCCACAGGCAACATTCAGGTTGTGCATTAGAAATCAAAACAAATACATGTTAAAATCACTTGCATGTGTTTGAAATGACACACAACTCAAACACACAGCATAGCTTGCCGATTAGCCCTTCTGAAAATCAAAACTTTCCAGATTGAAAGGTTACAAAAGCAAAGAAAGTTAAGAAAATTTGAGTAGCCAAGCTGAATCCTTCTAGTTTTTAAGCTTTGGAGGAAGGCAAGAATGGGAAGGAAAGCAAAATGAAAAGGATGACTAAGACAACACTGGAAAGAAAGAAAGGCCTTCTTATGATTGGGGATTTGAAGAGATCTTGTTTTCTGGTTTGGGCTTGTATTTTTTTTTCATGCAGGGCCTATAATTTTGTGTATGAGTTTCAACTTTCTGTATATTGGACTTAAAATTCTGCAAAATCATTTATCCCACTTTGGTTTTGATGTAACACCAAGCTATACTGTACAGGTACATTTTTGGGCAGAGCAGGAGTGCTATTCTGTATGCACCTGTTTCACAGTATATATTGAACGGATCAGGCAAGAAAACTTCCCACCATAGTACTTCTTCACATAAATGAGCAAGACAACAGAAATCAAAAGTTTAGCTTGCAATATTTATTATTTACAGTCAAAAACTCTTCAAATATTCAGCTTTGCTTCATTTGTCGCACAGACTGCACATCCAAACAGTGCAATTCTGCCACACAAGTAGCTTTCTTTACCTGCCAATATGGAGACAATCTCCTGCCTTATCACAATTTTCCATAATGCCGAAATGAATCATCGAATTCCTAGGGTGGAAGAAGCAAGTCATTCAGCCCATTGAGTCCACACCAAATCTCCGAAAAGCATCCCACCCAAACCCACCCCACCTCCTACACTATCCTTGTAACCCTGCATTTCCCATGGCTAATCTACCCAACCTCCTCATCCCTGGACACTATTGGCAATTTAGCATGTCCAATCCACCTAACCTGAACATCTTTGGAATGTGGGAGGAAACCGGAACAACCAGAGAAACCCACACAAACACTGGGAGAATGTGCAAATTCCACACAGACAGTCGCCCAAGGGTGGAATCGAAGCTGTGAGGCAGCAGTGCTAACCACTGAGCCACTGTGCGCCCAATTGCATAATGCTAAGTTTTTTGTATGCTACTCTTCATAAAGGAGGATTTTATTGTGCGTTTAAGATAGTAGAATTTTCTTATTTAGTGAAACAGCATATCATTGATGATATTTGATTCTGGCTCAATCACTTAGGGTGGCTGTACAGTTGCTACAGTCTAGCCTCTTTGCAGTACATAATATAGAAATGAATTGAAAGGCTTAAATTTTAAAAAATATGGTAGCATAGTTACTGGAAATGTTTGTCAAATTTGTTCAGTTCAGTGTACTTTTGATGATCCCCATTGTCTCTTTGGACTTTGATAAAGTTGATTTAAACATGAATGCACCTACTTGTCATTCAATGCCATTCCTGAATATTTTGGAAATCAAAGCGCACTTATCAACTGGCATGGCCAACCTATTCTCAAACTAACTTTTTTTTTCAATATTGATTGGTGCATATTGCAAACACTCAGTTTCCTATACCACAATGCATTACACCTTGAAGCATGGCAGCATTGATTCTAATGATTGGAAGGAGCTTTCCACCAATTGCTATGTTGGGCAGCACACTGACTAAATGGTTAGCACTACTGCTTCATAATTCCAAGGACCCAGATTCAATTCCAGCCTCAAGTGACTGTGTGGAGTTAGCACATTTTTTCCATGTCTCAATGTGGACTCATAGGCCAAATAACCTTCTTCCACACTGCAGGAGATTTCATGAATCACAAAATGGCAATAACTGGTCCACCAAACTACATAATACTTTATGTTCAAATGCCTTAATGATGAGGAAGATCAGTAGTAGAGGAGGGGGAAAAAACAACACAAATCCTGCACTCCAGATCTCATCATTTCAGGAGCACAAGGGGCAAAATGCCCAAAAGTCAAGAACTTTCTTGCTTATTTACTTCGAAAAAAAACTTGTGATCTTGAGTAGATGTTATCCTTGAATTGGAGGCCAGCCAACAATATCCAATCACACTATTGCAATAAAGACCGAAAGACCTTCAGATGCTGTAAATCAGGAACAAAAACAGAAGTTGCTGGAAAAGCTCAGCAGGTCTGGCAGCATCTGTGAAGAAAAAAATCAAAATTTAGTTTTGGGACTGGAGACCCTTCCTCAGAACTGATGGTAGCTGGGAAAATATCGGTTTATATGCAGAAAATAGGGAGGGGGATGGGGTAGGGAGTAAACAATAGGATAAAGGATACAGCCCGAAGAAAGAGAAGAGCAGCTGGATAGACAAAGGAGTTGATAACGATCGGGCTAGGTGAATAGCTGTTAATGACTAACAAACAGGTAGTGTGAAATGACAGGCTACGTGATAAGAAGGCCTGGTGTGTGGGGTAGGGAGCCAGGACATGGGAGAGTTTAGGCCCTAAAATTATTGAACTCAATATTGAGTCTGGAGGGCTGCACAGTCCCCAAGAGGAATTGTGTTGAGCTTCGCTGGAACACTGCAGCAAGCCAGAGACCAAGAAACCAAGGTGGCCAAGGAACAGGGTGGTGTATTAAAGTGGCAGGCAACTGGAAGGAAGGGTCCCGACCCGAAACGTCAGATTTCCTGCTGCTCTGATGCTGCCTGACCTGCTGTATTCCTCCAGCTCCACACTGTGTTATCTCCAGCATCGGCAGTTCTTACTATCTCTAACTGGAAGATTAGGGTACTTTTTGCTAGCAGAACGCAGACGTTTCTGCGATTGCAATTTCTGGCATAGTAGCTTCAGGTACACAACTAAATAGTCAATCGAGTTCTATAAATGCCGGAATCATGTAGAAATCCAGACATGAAGGACACTTTGACAGTTTGAAAGTCTACCCATCATTTTGGCAATTATACCCGACAACGCCAAAGTGAAGGGGCAAAAGGTTTTTTTATTAATTGCTAAATCGTTGGCAATAAAAAAGGTACACGATAAAAACTTGCCAACAGTTAGTTTACATTCATTAGAACACATTTCCCTCCACTATATCTTCTGGATCTTGAGTGGGGAGTTGGAATCACTTTGGTATTGTCACGGTCTTAGGTGTGAGACTTTGAATGAGAGTGCTGCACATCGCAAACACGCAGGAGGGGTTACAGCCAGGGGCGAGTTGCACTTCTTTGCCAACTCATGTGAGAATAGTGGATGGATTTACGATTGCAATAAGGTTGCGCGTGACATCAGCAAGCAATCTAACTCCCCTCCAATCCACTCATCCCAAATAACAAAAAATCCATTTTCCACTCGTAATAGCTGAAGATTCAGACGGTAAGATCAGCGACCCTTTTCCCCAACTGTTCATGTCTGACCGGCTGAGACACACGTGCCAACCGTTGACGGTTGGGTTTAAACAGCATCGTACCACCCCCTCCCCCAAACTCGCGCTCCTATCCCGCTTACCTTCACGACGCAGCTGCGCAATACCCGCTTCAGCAGGCGCACTTTCAGGACGCAACCCTACGTTGGAAGGGGGCCGGATTTCGTTTAGATCACGTGATACTATATGGCCACGCCTCCCACCGTCCCCAACTATTAAAACTCTCAGAGATAGCAGGAACTGCAGATGATGGAGAGTCTCAGATAACGAGTTGTAGAGCTGGATGAACCCAGCAGGCCAAGCAGCATCATAGGAGCAGAAAGGCTGACGTTTCAGGCCTAGACCCTTCTTCAGAAAAGGATCTAGGCGCGAAACGTCAGCCTTCCTGCTCCTCTGATGCTGCTTGGTCTGCTGTGTTCATCCAGCTCTACATCTTGTCATCAAAACTCTCAGGTTGTCTGCCAATACATATATCTCTGTATTTAAAAATTCGCACCATGGAGCAAAAACAATCAGGTTTGTTTTGTCTCCCGCATTTCCCGCAACTCATCCCTCACACCCCGTCCCCGCAATAACAACCAAAAAAGAATCCCCCTCGTCCTCACGTAACACCCCACCAACCTCCGGATCCAACGCATCATCCTCCGACACTTCCACCATCTGCAATCTGACCCCACCACCAAAGACAGTTTTCCCTCCCCACCCTTATATGCTTTCCAGAGAGACCACTCTCTCCATGAATCCCTTGTCCGCTCCACACCCCTCCAGCCCCACCACACCCGGCACTTTTCCCTGCAACCGCAGGAAGTGCTACACCTGCCCCCACGCCTCCTCCCTCACCCCCATCCCAGGCCCCAAGAAGACTTTCCACATCAAGCAGATGTTCACCTGCACATCTGCCAATGTGGTATACTGCATCCGCTGTACCCATTGTGGCCTCCTCTACATCAGGGAAACCAAGTGGAGGCTTGGGGACCGCTTTGCAGAACACCTACGCAATAAACAACTGCACCTCCCAGTCGCGAACCATTTCAACTCCCCCTCCCATTCCTCAGACGACATGTCCATTCTGGGCCTCCTGCAGTGCCAGAACGATGCCACCCGAAGGTTGAAGGAACAGCAACTCATATTCCGCTTGGGAACCCTGCAGCCCAATGGTATCATTGTGGATTTCACAAGCTTCAAAATCTCCCCTCCCCCTACCGCATCCCAAAACCAGCCCAGCTCGTCCCTGCCTCCCTAACCTGTTCTTCCTCCCACCTATCTCCTCCTCCCACCTCAAGCCACACCCCCATTTCCTATCTACTAACCTTATCCTGCCCCCTTGACCTGTCCGTCCTCCCTGGACTGACCTATCTCCTCCCTACCTCCCCACCTACACTCACCTTTACTGGCTCCATCTCCGCCTCTTTGACCTTTCTGTTTCCTCTCCACCTATCTTCTCCTCTATCCATCTTCTATCCACCTCCCCATTTATTTCAGAACCCCCTTCCCCTCCCCCATTTCTGATGAAGGGTCTAGGCCCGAAACGTCAGCCTTCCTGCTCCTCTGATGCTGCTTGGCCTGCTGTGTTCATCCAGCTCTACATCTTGTTATCTCAGGTTTGTTTTGCAAATGGCAGCATACCGCAGTTGCTGGAAACCTGATTAAAATAAACAGAAAATGTTGGATAATAAGGCACTCAGCAAATCTACGAACCAGAAAGGCAATTGAACTGTCCATTATAAATAATCTGGATACAAGAGCGGGTAAGAGGGAATGATGGAGAATTGTTCACCAACCAGAAGCTGGTGTGACAGAATACTCTCCATTTGCTGTGATGAATGCAGCTCCAGCAAGTTATAGGAAGGATATAATCAAGCTGGAGAAGGTTCAGAAGTGATTTATCAGGATTTTGCCAGGTATGGCAAGTTTGAGTTGTGAGGAAAGGCTGTGACTTTTTCACTGGAGCATAGGAGGTTTGAGAGGCGACCTGAAAGAAGTTTATAAAATAATGAGAGATATAGATAGAATTAATGGTAGTTGTCTTTTCCTTGGGATGGGCATTTCAGGATTAGTGGACACATTTTAAGCTAGGAGGAGAGAAATTTAAAAAAGACATGAGGCAACTTTTATACACACAGCGTGGTTTGTGTGTGGAATGAACTTCCTGAGGAAGTGGCAGATGTGGGTACAATTACAACATTTAAAAGACATTTGGATAAGTACATGAATAGGAAAAGTCTGGAGGGATATGGGCCAGGAGCAGGCAAGTGGGGCTAGTTTAGTTTAGGATTATGTTTGGCATGGACTGGTTGGATCGAAGGGTCTGGTTCTGTCCTGTATGACTCTAAGACTCAAGAAGCTTAACATTATTTGAAAGTAAAGCAAATGCCTGATTGGCACCCCATTCATCACCTTGAAATCTGCTTCCTCCAACAATGATGTACAGTTATAAATTGACTACAGCAACTCACTAAACCTCCTGGGACAATTTTCAAAATCTTGAGCACTGCCATCTGAAAGAATAAGGGCAACAGATGCACGGGAAGGCCACCTGCAAGTTCTCTTTCAAGTCTCAGACCATCCTGATTTGAAAACTATAGTGCCACTCCTTCACTGTCACTGGATCAAAATCCTGAAACCCCTTCCTTCAAAATCAAGAGCCATCTGGACAGAGCAGGTAGGAAAAGATGTTCCCAATAGAGGAAAGATTGAGAACCAGAAAGCACAGAAGGTGAATGACTAATGAATTTCAATAATGGTGTGATGCAGCTATGTAGGCTGTCTGTCCTAAAATTTGGCAGATCCTATCAACTGGCAAATCTTTCAGCTGATCACGACAAGCAAGATATTGATATGCCCAACCAGTCCATGTATGCAAAACCTGCAACATTGTGTCCAACATTAGATATGGTTCTGCATTGGACAACATTTGCTGGACAACTGTGAGTTTATGAGGAATTACGCTGACAAACAATCCAGGAATGTCGCCTTGGGCGACAGTCTGAGTGTAGTCTCCTTGTTCTCCCCATGTCTGTGTCGATTTCCTCCAGGTGCTGTAGTTTCCTCCCACAGTCCAAAGATGTGCAGGCTAGGTGAATTGGCCAGGCTAAATTGCCTGTAGTGTCCAGGGATGTCGGGCTAGTTGGATTAGCCATGGGGACATGCAGGGTTATCGGGATAGGGTAGAGGGGTGGGTTTGGGTGGGATGCTGTTAGAAGGGTCAGTGTGGACCCAATGGCCTACTTCCACACTGTAAGGATTCTATGATTGTCTGTCAGTCTTACAGTATGGTGCAGTTGTGTATGCAGGATATATTAATATGAGACCTTGTTCTTTGCAAACAGAATACATACATGCACTGTGCCTGTTTCTTGGCACGGTGGCTCAGTGGTTAGCACTGCTGCCCCACAGTGCCAGGGACCCGTGTTCGATTCCACCCTCGGGTGACTGTCTGTGTGGAATTTGCACATTCTCCCTGTGTCTGCATGGGTTTCCTCCGGGTGCTCTGGATTCCTCCCACAGTCCAAAGATGTGCAGGCTAGGTGAATTGGCCAGCCTAAATTGCCTGTAGTGTTCAGGGATGTGTAGATTAGGTGAGTTGGGGGAGTGGGGTGGTGTTGCTGTGAGGGTCAGTGCGGACTTGTTGGGCCAAAAGACCTGTTTCCACACTGTAGGGATTCGATGAAAACAGGTGATAGCAATTCACTGGTTCATTTCATAGGACAATGCCCTGCTCAATTAGAGTCAACCTGCCCTGTTAAAATTTAAACAGGCCCAGCAGTTAA